TCCAAGATTTTTACACCTCCTCTGCTGGCATTCAGAAACCTCCACTTTTTTTTAGTTCACAGACTGTGGAACCAGATTTTCTAGTTCAAATCCCAGTTCTGCCACTGAAAGCTTCATAACTTTGGACAAGCTACTTAATCTCTCTGTGCCTTAGATTCTTCACCTGTAAAATATAAATGGTAAAACCATCCATTTCACAGAGCTATTATTAGAATTTAAAGAGTTAATATATGTAAAGCACTTAGCACAATGCCTGGCCCACAGAAATGGGCTCAGTAAATGTAAGCAGGAACCATTATTACTATCATCATCATTCTCATCTCTAGTTTTACTACACAGCCTCTTGCTTTCCATACGAGAAAAGAGGGAACTACTTATTAGCTTTTATTGTGTGCCAGGCACAATGCTTAGCCCCTTCAATATGCATTTATTTATTCAGCCCTCATAACAACCCTGCAGGTTAAATATTATTTCTGATGTTACTGATGAGGAAATTGAGGCTTGAATATTCAGCAGATTCTTGTCATTAAAACATGATAGTGGTGTGTGGGAATAGTCACTTGGCAGAACGTGGACCTAGTTAACTCTCTAGAATTCATATTTAACTCAACTTGTTTTTAATTTGCCATTGTATACACAGGAAAGTAAGCATGTGTGCATGCATAAACGAAAGAGAACAGCAAGTACCACTTACTGAATGGTTGTATGTTGCTACTTCCCTCTACCTAGCCAAATCTTTCCATCTCTTTAAGGTGCTGTGACCACTAAAACAGATGCTGAGCTCTTTTCCCTCTTAACTCTTTTTTTTGTCTGCGTTGGGTGTTTGTTGCTGCATGTGGGCTTTCTCTAGTTGCAGCAAGTGGGGGCTACTCTTTATCGCGGTACGCAGGCTTCTCATTGTGGTGGCTTCTCTTGTTGCGGAGCACGGGCTCTAGGCACGCAGGCTTCAGCAGTTGCAGCACACAGGCTCGGTAGTTGTGGCTCGCGGGCCCTAGAGCGTGCGGGCTTCAGTAGTTGTGGTGCACGGGCTTAGTTGCTCCGCGGCATGTGGGATCTTCCCGGACTAGGGCTCGAACCCATGTCCCCTGTATTGGCAGGTGGGTTCTTTTTCTTTTTAAGGCTCATACTTTTATCTTAAATTTTTCTTATGTTCCCTAAAGTACCTAGCATAGTACTGAGCATAAAGTTGTTTCACAGTAACATTTGTGGAGTAGCTTACCATCCAGACCCAGCAAGGGCATCCCCAAATAATGATTATTGTTTATTCAATAAATTTTTACATACAATGTAGCAGGCACTGTGTTAGGTCTTAAAGCAGAATCAGAACATAAGAGACTGCAGTCCCAGTCCTAACAGTTCATAATAGATTGGGGAAACTACAGGTAATCAGATAATTACAATACAGTAAGGTAAGTGCTACAACAGATATTTGAACCAAGTGCCAAGAGAGTATCAAAGAGGGAAAGATTAATTCCCCACAAAGGACCCAGAAAGCATTTCATCATTCACTTATTTAAAAAATATTTATTGACCACTTAGTATGTGCCAAGCACTGTGACAGGTCCAAGGGTGGAGAGGCAAATGAAATGCCCAAGGTCCCTGTACTCATGAAACAATCTAAGATTTACTTGAGCGGGATGACAAATGGGTAGGAATTCATTCTGTAAAAGATGCAGGAAAGGGGACCAACATCAAGTCAAAGCCCTGGAGACATGAAAGAGAATAGCTTAGATAGAGAAGAGCAGAAAATGGGGTGTGGCTGGAATGCATTCCCGTGAACGGGGAGCTATAAGAGATGAGGTGAGATGGCACCTCAGACAGAACAGAATAGAAAGGGTCTCATATGCCATGCCAAGGCTTTTAGAGTTTAATTCATTTGGTCATTCAGCATGCCGCAGGGTGCAACCAAAAACAAAAAACAAAAAACTAACCATTTCGTCATTCAGAAAAATGCACCATGGTCTTCTATATGCCAAGCCCCATGCCAGCTACTGGGGCCACAAAACCAATAAGACATAGTCTTTCAAGAAGCTGAGAGTGTAGCGGGACACAGGCATGTAAAGAAACACTTATTATATAGCACAAGTAAGTGCGATGGTAGAGGCATGTTAAGATATAGGGATGGCTTAGAGAAGGGAGAGATTAGATTGGCTCTGTATCTGGTGGACAGAGGGTGGTTAGGAAAGACCTTATAGCAGAGGAAACTTTTGACTAGGTCATGGGAACAAAGGATTTCATAAAGTAGCTGATAACAGCAAACACTTACATAGTATTTAGTATGTGCCAGGCTCTGTTCCAAGCACTTCACATACATTGACTCACTCAAACTTCATAACTACCTTATAAAATAGATATTATTATTAATCCCATTTTATAGATGAGGAAAGACACAGAGAGGTTAACTTGTCCAAGGTCACACAGGTAGTTTAAGTGACAGAGCCAGGATTTTAACACAGGTAGTTTGGCTTGAGTCTGTGTTCTTAATTACTATACTATATTGCCTCCAAGACAAGAGAAAAAAGCCGTTCAAGGCAAACAGGACAGCATAAGCAAAGGTACAGAGGTATGAAAGAAGACAACATCTTTGGGAAATTGTGAGTGGTTGACACTGGAATGTAAATAAGAAGAGCAGCAGGGCAAGCAGGTACCAGGTCACAAGAGGGCCTTGGGTACCAAGTAAAGAAATGTCTTTATCAAAAGGTAATTTGAAACCACTAAGGGAAGTGGTTTCCTCAGGCAGGGAGGTGACCTGAGTAGATTTTCTTTTTTTTTTTTTAAAGACTTATTTCTCTGGCGTAAGTGTGGAGGCTGGAATGACAGGGGATGCCAAGGGCACAGAGACAAGTTAACAGACCATGGCACTGGTCTAAATTCAACAATATTTTTTTAAAATAAATTTACTTATTTATTTTTGGCTGAGTTGGGTCTTTGTTGCTGCACAAGGGCTTCCTCTAGTTGAGGCAAGCGGGGGCTACTCTTGGTTGCGGTGCGTGGGCTGCTCATTGCTGTGGCTTCTCTTGTTGTGGAGCACAGGCTCTAGGTGTGCAGGCTTCAGTAGTTGTGGCGCACAGGCTTAGTTGCTCCGCGACATGCGGGACCTTCCCGGACCAGGGCTCGAACCCATGTCCCCTGCATTGGCAGGCGCATTCTTAACCACTGCGCCACCAGGGAAGCCCTCAACAAGATTTTGAATTTAAAGTGGGAGATGTTAAGGGCAAAAAGGGATTTTTAGGAGACAGAATTGAAAACTAGATATAAGAGAGAAGAATTAAGGGTCATTTCTAGTCCCAGTTTCTTGGTATATGGATATAAAATAAATACAGGAGAATAAAAAACAGGTTTGGAAGAAAAACTATTGCATTTAAAGAGAATGTTACTCCATATGCCTATTGTTTATTATGATTCCATAATCTTCACTTGGCTCATTCTCATCATCACACACAGTGATTCTCAACTGGGGCCCACGTGGGGACACAAAGGGCAGAAGGGTCAGGTGAAGGTATATTAGAATCTGGGTATTTGTATGTGAGTGTACATGTAGTTCAATTACTACCATCCTCTTTTTCTTCCAGACAGTCTAATATCACAATCCTGCCCACCACCATCCCTCACTGAGAATCACTACTGTGTACAGTTATCCATGGATACCCTGACAAACAGTTGAAAACCTTGAATGTGTTCCAGGAAGTCACAAAACTGCAAAACTAGGAGAGATTTTAAAGACCTTCTAGAGCTCAGTAGGTCTCAACCAAGGGGTACTTGTAAATATGTAGGGCATTTTTGGTCATCACAATGGGACATTGCTACTGACATTTACTGTCTGAGTGCCAGGGATGTTAAATTTTGTGCAACTCACAGGACAGTTCCAAATGATGAACAATTATCTTGCCCCAAAGGACAACAGTGTTCCTTTGAAGAAACACTGCTATAGGTCAAACACTACGTTTTCTAGATGAGGACAAAGTGAGATCCCAGAGAAGGAAATGACTTACTAAAGATCACACAGCTGCACAGTAGGGTCTAGAACCCAGGGCTTTTGTTTATACTCCCCTTTACTGCTTTCTAATCTGGGTCTGGTAAGCCTGTGGCACATCTAGAAGAGAAATCCAACTGAGTATATCAGTCAAGTACTCAGGAGGCCACCTTGTTATCACAGTCCTTTGTACATTTTCTCTAGCCCCAGATCTCACTCTCACCTTCAGAGATCTAGTCTAGAGGTGCAAGTTTGGCAGTCAGCAGCATGGGAAGCCTTAAGATGAATAAGATCACCCTGGCCAAACACATAAAAGGTGACAAAGCTCTGGGGAGCACAAACATTAGTAGTCTAGTTGAGAAAATAGGAAGCAATAAAGGGAACCGAAAAGAAAAAGTCAGTAATGTAGGAGGAGAGGTTCAAGAAGACAAAGGGAACTAATTACAAACGGTTTTTTGTTTGTTTTTAGTGAAGTAATAATTACCACTCATTGGGTACTTATATCCATTGATTCAGTGTTGGTTGTCTATCCTGTATCTATTCCTTGCTTCTTCCTTGCTAACAGAAATCAGACAGTTTGAGGTTGCAAAGAGTCTATTTTAACAGTCTCTCTTCCAATCTCAGCTGTCACTGTAAAGGCCACGTGATATGGTTCTGGTCAATAGGATATGAGGGTATGGTATCATCACCCAATCTTACTGAGTTTGTACAGGGAACACAAAACCATATTTGGTACTTTAACATTCCATTTAATAGACAAGAAAATTTTGCAAAAGAAGAATAACTTAGGGGGCTTATCCTACCAGCTAGCAAAACATACCACAAAGCCAAAGTAATTAGAAGAGTGTAACGTAGTGCAGGAATTGATAAACAAGGTATGACGGAAACAGACCTGGAGTGGTCAGGAACACTCTGGGGAGGACGCACAGAAATAAGTAATTCATAGGTCTTCCATAGTAGAACTCCTCCAGACCTCCTGGCTATCAAGTCCTTTGCACATTTTCTCCACTCCCAGATCCCCTCTCACCTTCAGAGATTCAATCGTGGCCTGCTTGTAAATCTTTCCTCCAGGAGCTTTCTTCTGAGGACTATTCTGGATTCTGGGTGTTCGAAGGACGAATTTATCCATTGCTAGGGGACTCCAACTACCTTCACGTGTTTGCACCGTGTTCTGCTCAAGAAAGAGGGCAGGGTCTAAAACGTCATCAAAGCTTCTGTGATGTGTGTTCCCTAAAGTGACACAATTGGGTTCTACACACTCTGGAAGCATTCCTGAATTATTAGGACTCTTGGGTGAAATTCACAGGAAGATTTCCTCCTGAAAAAGAAACATCTTCCTAAAAACTGAAAACTGTATACAATGATGGGTCTACTTCCTGAATTAGGAGGTGTCTAGCTTTCAGAAGTGCACACTGTAGAGGGGCTTCCAATACTGGGCCAGGCGTTGAACCTGGTGACTTCTAAAGCCTCTTCCAACTTAGGTTGGGTTGTGGCAGGGTTAGAGTTCCCCCGGGTTCAATGAAGCTGTCTTAATTACCGCACCATAGCCACAACCCCAAGGGTTCCCCTAGTAACCAATAACCAACAACCTCCTCCAGATCTCAGCAGGGTCCTCACTGCAACCAGTCATCTCCAGGAACTACTCCGTGGTCAAAGGACCCTAACCACGACTATCCTGCTCTGATCCCAGAGCAAAGGGAACCACCACCTTCCTCTGCCCTCAGCACTCAGGAGCCCAGGAAGGGGAAGCCTAACAACGATGTCATATGAGATGAGACCCACCAGGAATAGCAGCCCTGTCAGCAGCTGGGCCTCTCCAGAACGCACCCTCTGAGGGCCCAAGCCTAGACCTCGGGGGTCAGAACTAAACGACGCTTCCTTCCTCCGCTGCAGTTTCTCGTTAGAGGATCAGCCAGCCGGGAGAACACCGACGCCCGTCAGCGGGGTGGAGGGGGTGGGAGTGAACCAAACCACATTCCCCAGAATACACCGCGAAGGGGCGGGCTCGGGCGCACCTAGGGCGGCTGTAGTTCTCCGAGACCAACTTTCCCAACCCACCGTGCGCCTCCCGCCTATGGAGAACCACATGCCCCAGCGTGCCTCGCGAAGCTAAGGAGTCGCTTCGCTCTAGTACTCGCGATGTTTGGACCCACTTCCTCTCGCCAATCTAGAAGTTAGTAGACCTAGAGGTGGGGCGAGAGGCGGCAGTTTCGGGCGGGTCAGGGCGGAGCTGAGAGGACTGCAAAGCCGGAAGCAGCGGCCCGCGGGACTGGGAAGGGGCTGGTCCCGGAAGGAGGAGGAAACCTGAAAAGAAAACAGCAACAAGCTGAGGTGCTGTGACAGAGGCAAACAAGATGGCGGCGGCAAAGGGGAGCCTCTGGGTCAGGGCCCAACTGGGGCTCTCGCCGCTGCTGCTGCTGCTGACTATGGCCCTGACCGGAGGCTCGGGGACCGCTTCGGCTGAAGCTTTTGACTCGGTCTTGGGTGATACGGCGTCTTGTCACCGGGCCTGTCAGTTGACCTACCCCTTGCACACCTACCCCAAGGTAGGGCCCGTCCAAAGCGGGCTACAACCCTTCCGTGGCCTCCCATCTCTCCGCTCTCCCGTACCTCTGTCGGCTTTGGAAGCCTGACTGTTGAATCCACCCTTCAACCGCTGTCTCCCATCTGTGTAACTCCTGTTTTCTTCCCCTAATCTTACCCGCACCGCGCTTCTGCTGTAATTACCGGAAGTTTGTGCCGCCCCTACCCTGTAATAGGCTGGGGACACAAAAATAAGCAAGACACGACCCCTTTCCTCTGGGGCCTTGCGGGGCAGCAGGGGAGACGAACACTCGGAGGGGGAGGAGTATCCAAATGATTAATGCGGGGTCCTCACCTTCCAGGGACGGCGGGGGGGAGTGGGGCAGTTGCAGATACGCCAGCCCACAAAATGTTAACTCTTAACCCCTGTTCCCTGAGCGCCTCTCTGGGCTGGGACCTTGCAGTCTGTTCCTGGAGTCAAACAAGTAGACAATTCCACCATAGTATGAAATACATCAAGGAGTTGGGAGACGCTTAGGAAGGGCTTTCCGCCTGTGTTGAGTAACTGTACAAGGCGCTCACACTGGGACTGGAATGGCTTAGAGAAAAAGCAGTTAGGTTGCTGCATTCAGAAAACTTACCATTCAGTGCAGCAGAAGACAGAGGGAATAAGTGGAGTGGGAAAGAAATGAAACTGCCCTTAGTAGGGGGATCACAACTTATGGACAGAGTGACCCTTCCTCCCCTCCTTGTCCGCCCTCAGGTGCTGCCTTTCCTTTAATTCCATTCCACTAATCGAGTTGTTTTGCAGCTTCTAAAGAACTGTTGACTCAACATCCTAAATTGTGTGGTGACTCCCCCACCCTTCCAAATATATAATTTGGGTATATCATCCTCCCTCCCCCGCCTTTCTTTAGGAGAGCTTTTGCTGGTCTTTTTGCCCTTGCTTTTCCTTCATCTTCCCTATGCTGTATGCTTAACTGTGTGGCTAGCCCTCTTTGCTCTCTCAAACTACAAAGTGACAGGTTTAGGATGTTCCTTATTGGCAAGTGCTTTCAGGCTTTTGAAATTCTGAAGTTCTAAATGCTGTCACTGCCTGTATGTTTGTTTACTGCTGGATTTTACATTGCTTGAGGATTATCAGTTTTCAAGAAAAAGTGTGGGAGAGGGGATTATCAAATTTTCAGTCAGAGACAAATATAGCAATCAAGAGAGAGAAATGAGGAATTCTGACTTCCAGACCTTCAAATCCATGTGTACTGCTCCTGGATACATTATTTTTTTCTCTTCTTATAAACCTCTCATAAGTAAGAGGATTGTATGAGGAAACTAATATTGATTTGTCCTGGAATTGGGCAGAGACTTATTTTGTATCTTTCTAGTGTTTGGATGTATTGGTTGTTTTGTTTTGTTTTTTCTGAGATTTTCCTAGCAAATTTGTAGTTATTTGAATACATATGCTGCGAGAATAAACAATTCAAAAGGATGAACATTTCTGGAACCTCTAGGTATTTTTATAATATCCACTACTTTCTAACAATTGATGGTGATATCTAAGTGTTTTTTACTTATTCAGTACAGCTCTTCTCCGCAGGAACTCTAAATCATCTGGCTCCCTGTGTGTCCTGGCCTTAAAATTGATTAACTGTCTACTCTCTGTTAGCCAGTGTGATGGGAGATTTACCTCCATTATCTCCAATTCTCACCCTGCAAAGTTGGGTTTTACAATTGAGGGAATCGAGGCTCTGAAACGTTCAGTGACTTGCCCAAGGTCACATAGCCAGGAAGTAGTGGAGTAATAGGAATTCAGTCCTAAAACTGGCTGTATAATGCTGCCTTCTATTAATAAAGTTATATTATTACAAATATTTAATTTACTTATTTCACTGATGTCCGTCAGTCCTCCTTCAAATTATTGTGCTTTACAGTTCAGGAAAAAGCAGTGTGTGTTATAAGAAATTAGATGAATTTACAAGGTCCTGTAGCCTCTCTTGGTCTGGTATTTGTGACTGGCAGATAGAACTCTCATTTTAATGACTCTTTTTCAGCATTAATTATTTGTTGCAAGAAAGTAGGATACTTTACTTGTTTGTAAGTAGATACTTAAAATTATTATATTTTACCCTTTAACTTTCTTCAAAAGTATAATTGCTTAACTTGTCTGGGTCCAAATGCAGGAGACATAAGTCATGTTAATAACAAAGATAATTATAGAGCTAGCCTGGTCATTTTTTAACAGTGTGTGGGCTCTGGAACCATACAAACCTGGGTTCCATTCCCAGCTTCACCTTTTTTTAAGTTAATTGATTGATTGATTTTTGACTGAGTTGGGTCTTTGTTGCTGCACGTGGGCCTTCTCCAGTTGCGGCTAGTAGGGGCCACACTTCCCTGTGGTGCGCGGGCTTCTCATTGCGGTGGCTTCTCTTGTTGCGGAGCATGGGGTCTAGGCGTGCAGGCTTCCGTAGTTGTGGCACATGGGCTTAGTTGCTCCGTGGCATGTGGGATCTTCCCGGACCAGGGCTCGAACCCGTGTCCCCTGCATTAGCAGGCGGACTCCCAACCACTGCGCCACTAGGGAAGAGCCCCAGCTTCACTTTTACTATCTGTGCGTCCTTGCTGATTACTTAACTTATCATGACTTCATTTTGTCAACTATAAAAAAAAAAAAACAAAAAAAACACCTCACACCTTGCAGAGCAAGTGTGAGGATTAAAGATAGTATACATGGCACTCTTAGCACAGTGCCTAACACATGGCAATAGATAGTTATTTCCTTTGCCCAATGTCATAAAACCAATTTGGTACATACAGTATATTAGTAATGCTGAATAAGAGGGAGAATAGTTAGCCTGACTTAGCTCAGGATAAGAATATGCATGTAAAATCTATAGATAGTAGGGTTCCTTCTTTAAGGAGGATTCATTAAGTTTCCTTCTAATTATTTAGCTGGTATTCAGTTTGGTGGGGAGCACCATTTCCTTGTGCTCTAAATTAGGGAAGGTCTATTTTATATAAGCTTGCCAGTCACTTTGGATACATAGGGCATGAAATATTATCTAGAACATGAAACACTTACTTGGAATAAGATTATGATTTTTAATAGCTACCGATTGAGTGCCTGCTCTGTGCCAGGTATCCTATGATACATTAAGTGTTAGCACCATGCCTGGCACATTATGGGTGCTCATGAAATATATTATTAATGTTATGTCTACTTATTAGTTAGTATAGCATAATATTAATGATGTTGTAGATATAAGATATATAAATAAAATAATAAAGTATAAAATAAAATACTCATCATATTTCAAGATTGGCATATGAGTATTGGTCACTGTTTTACAACTAAGGAGTTGAGGCTGAGAGAGATTAAGCCCCTTGCCCAAGGTTGTACAGAATAAGTGGTGAGGCTGAGCTTCTAACCAGGCCTGATTCCTGAACCTAGGCTCTTTCACCATGCTACAGTCTCTTCTGAAAATGGTACTGGAGGGCTTATTGGATTGGTTTAACACATGAAAACATATCTGAAAATGAAATGGTATGCAGTATAGCTCATACTAATGAGCCCATGCTTCCCCTATGCAATATAAGGAAATATGTGGTGCTCCAAAGACGTAAGAGAATTCTTCCACTGTTTTACAAAGCCTGCAAAAGCTACTCAGGTATGAAATTTATTTTAATTGCTAACTCTTTCAATTTCACTGTAACAATAAATGCAGCTAGAACTGAAGTCCAAAAATGCACTACCATCAAAGTTGTGTAATAAAACTTGTTTAATATTAGACTGCAGCCATCTCCTCTTAATGGATTGTTGCTGCTACATAAATTTTACTAATCCTGCTGGAAAGAAATGCATACCTTTGTATTCCGTTGGTTGCTAACTGGTATATGCACATGCTGTTTCCTTCCTTATTAGGTGCCTGCCAGTTTGTACACAGTGAACTACACAGTAAGTTGAGCGGGCTCCCCCACATGTACTGGTTTGTTTCAAATACTATACATTTAACCAAAGAAAAGCCTGTTGAAGACGTTGTCATTAGTCTTATTAAGCAGTTCACATTTTCCAGAGATGAGTCTTTCCTATCTTGAGCTCTCACACATATACAATGATGCTTATAACTGTTGTTTTCTATTTTTAAAACCAGTTATTATGATTAACACTACTACCATTTATTGAGCACCTTCAATGTCCCAGGCACTGCACTAGGAATAGCTGTCTTCTGGCATTATTGAGGGGTTTGGAGATAATTTATAGTTTTTATTTCCTTTTTGAGATTTAGATAGGTAAAGTAACTTGTACACACTGACCTAAAAGGTTTTATTCCGAGTCTGGCTGATTCCAGTGGCCTTTCCCATATGTCACATGTTGGCCTTGTTTGTGTTCTCAGTTCAGGTAAACCAAGTTTAAAAAAATCCTTTCACTTAAGCATATTTTTAGATGTATACCTCACTTTATGGGGGCCTTTATGGCACTATTTGCCATGTGAAGCTAGTCGTGATACTTTTCCTGATAAGCCTGATGATTCGTATAAATATTTATGTGGCAGAAGTACACCATTGGTCCCTAAAGTACTTGTTTACTCATTTATACCTCTATTAAAGTTCTGATTATGTCACTGTTATTTTCAACTTTTCCCCCCAAAATATGACTATGGAATATGGAAAAAGGGTGATGTTTTTAACCCACTAGGTTTGTTTCTTGGATATCACTTTTATTATTTATTTGTTAGTTTATTTATTTATTTTGGATGTCACTGTTAAAATAAGGAACTAAGGGCTTCCCTGGTGGCTCAGTGGTTGAGAGTCCGCCTGCCGGTGCAGGGGACGCGGGTTCGTGCCCCGGTCCGGGAAGATCCCACATGCCACAGAGCAGCTGGGCCTGTGAGCCATGGACGCTGAGCCTGTGCATCCGGAGCCTGTGCTCTGCAACGGGAGAGGCCACAACAGTGAGAGGCCTGCGTACCGCAAAAAATAAAAAAATAAGGAACTAAAACTTCTTTGTATGGCAAAGGTCTTGGTATTACCTGGCTCCTATCATTTTTCTTTCAGTCATAAATCTTTTGTTGGACAATTATAATAAACCCTATTAACTTTGCTTTCTTTTTGACCTATTTTCCCCCCGAAGGAAAAATGCTAGTTTTTGGTAATCCTCCCTGTTCTTGAACTCCCTAGGAAGAGGAGTTGTACGCATGTCAGAGAGGTTGCAGGCTGTTTTCAATTTGTCAATTTGTGGATGATGGAATTGATTTAAATCGGACCAAATTGGAATGTGAATCTGGTAAGATGCTATGCTAATGACATCAGCAGTATATAACATTGGTGTTTTCTTTGAGTTGTGTTATGCTTTTTATGTGCTTTCCTCAGAAAATGACAGGCATACTGTTTATTCATCCAGCATACTTTAATTATTATGAAGTTAAACTTTTAGTAGATACTGCTAGAAATTTCATGGGCTTTAAATTTCATCTGTTTATTGAGACAATGTTTATTTTATGCTGTGGATAGGACACCTTTGTTTAAGTAAGCATTTGGTTTAGACAAATGCAATAGTAATTACCCTTCTTATAATTCATCACTACCTTTTCAATGGATGGTATAATTTTCCTAAGCCTTTCATTCATAGGCTAGCTGACTTAGCTCCAAGTTTTTTACTGAATCAGGCCTTTGACTCAGTATTTAATAGTGTATTCTTTGTGGGTCATGCCAATAAAAGAAGTAACCAGAGTTTTGTCGTCTCTTAAACCACTATTCTTACCTTTTGCCAAAAGTGATGTGTTTAATAAAATAAACCTGTAATCAGGACAAAAATGATATTTAGCTTTTTAAAGAACTGTAATGGAATTTTCTCCATTCATTACCTTACACTGTTTATTCAGTGTAGCAGGAGGTACCTTTCTCCCTATCACTATGCCAGTACTCACATTTAGCCTCTGTGATATCATAAACTTTTTTTATGGCTCAGTCTCCTAAATGGCCATCTTTATATGTGCATAATGCTGTTCAGTTTATTATCTAGCACCTTTGGGAAGTATATTACAAATGCATGACTGGGTGGAAAGAAAAATAAAATTGTTATAGTGGTAAAGTTATATCACAAGAAAGAAATGGCTCTAGTGAACTAAATGAAGAGTATATATGGTAGAGACTCATTCCAACTTTAGAATCCTGCTGTAGAACATTTTCTAAGTTCAGTTTTCTCAGAATTTAGGATGTTAGACTGATTGCTTTGTTTTATTTTTCCTTGCCATGTGAATACCCTTGCTTCTCAACTAAGTGATTCAGTTCCTAACAGTAATATCATATATTTGTGTAAATTACTAAAGTATATTATTTTGTTCAACCCCATGAAATAGGTGGTGGTAGTTCAGTTTTAGACCTATAGAAATCAATAGAGAGGTTAAACAGCTCCACCTAAGTCACATACACTGCCAACAAGTGGTGAAGCCAGAATTTCAGGATGCCAGTTCAGTGTTTTTTCCACTATGCAAACCTTAGCTGTGAGGATCACCTCATATGAATGTCATCATGTAGCCAGAGCCTGAGTATGTAATTAATAGATTTATACCTGGAAGATCTGACTTGTGGGAGGCAGAAGATATGGGGTTTTATTAAAAGAATACATTTGCTACTGTTACCAAATGTGGAAATTCATATTGATGAAATACTTTTTAAGTATAATAAATTTCTTTATAAAATTTCTTTATAAGATGCCAATGTTCTCTCCCTTTTCTTTCTCTCCTTCTCTTTTTTTTCTTGTAATTTGACTGTTTTTCTCTTCCAGCATGTACAGAAGCATATTCCCAATCTGATGAGCAATACGCTTGTCACCTTGGTTGCCAGAATCAGCTGCCATTCGCTGAATTGAGACAAGAACAAGTACGAAACAATTCTGCCTTTCAGAAATGCCTGCTTAGATCGCACTTTGTATTGAAATGTATATTGCCCACATGATCCTATTTTAGTGTTATATTTTATAATTTGTCTTCAGCAAACAAATTATATGTTTGCAAATAGAAAAGTCAATTGATTAATTACTTTTGTATAATGCTTTACTGTTAAGATGTATGTTCACACCTATAATCTCATTTTGGTTTTTTTTCTAGGCCCAGTGACAGTATTATCCCCATTTTGCATATGAAAAAACTGAGGCTCAGAAAAATTGAGAGTTCCTTTTTTTCATCCCATCTGCTATTGCCTTAACTCAAATCATCATTATTTCTCATCTGTATTACTAAATTAACTTCCGATCTATCTTCCCACTTCAGCCCCCTCTAGTCCATCCTTTAGTCTGTGTCCAGATATTTATTTTCTGTGTCCAGATATTTATTTTCTAAATGGGAATCTCGTCATGTCATTCTCCTGTCTTATATACTTCAGTAGCTCCCCATTACATACAGGTTTAAGTCCAAACCACTTATCACAGCCTGGCTCCTGATTACCTCTCCTATATCATCTCTTATAATTCCCCACCCCTTATACTCTATCCAAACATACTGGGAAAAGTTTTTTAATTTTATTAACTCTGGCATAAGAAGTACAGCCACATGGTACAAAACTCAAAAGGTTAAAAAAAAAAGTTGACCCATATTACTACTGCACTACATGATCTGCAGTTGGTTGAATTCTCAGATGCAGAATCGCGGATATGGGGAGCCAACAATAATTTGTGTACATACACAGATTTCGGCACCCCTAACCCCTGCATTGTTCCAGGATCAGCTGTATAGTGAAAAGTCTCCTACTCCTGTATCTCTTAGCCACTCCATTTTGCTCCATTAATGTAGCCAGGGTTACCAATGCAGAGGTAATTTATATATATACAAGAATACATGTATTCTTTCTTTTCTAAAATATAAGTAATAAATAAAGAATGTCTACTCACTTTTTTTCACTGCATACATGTTTCATTGTATGGATGTATCATTTAAGTGGTCCCTTATTTGTGGACATGTAGGTTGTTTCTAATTTTTTAAATTTATAAATGATGTTGCATATTTTTCACATTTATATCTATAATAAAATCACAGGAGTAGAATTGCTGAGTTAAGAGGTATATGCATTTTTAATTTTGAGAAATAGAGCAAAATTGCCCTCCATGGAATTTGTATCAGATTTTTAAATTGACATATAATTCATTCTATAAAATTCACCCTTCTAAAGTATTTGGTGCAGTAGTTTTTAGTATATTCACAAACTGTGCAACCATCATTACTACCTAATTCCAGAACATTTTCATCATCAAAAAAAGAAATCTCATACCCATTAGCAGTCACTCTCCTTTCCTCCTCCTCCCAGTCCTTGGCAATGTACAACTTTTATTACAGTTTTAATTTGTGTTTCTCTTATGAGTAACTTTAAAAATAATTTCTAATTTTTAAGACCCATATTTATTTCCTTTTCTCTTAATTATGTACATACTGAGCAGTCCTTAATGTTTGTAATATGACATTATTTCTTGCCTCTGTCCCTTCTACTCCCCATCTGCTCAGTGAATCCTCTTGATTCAGAGCAGGTGTCATGTCCTTTGCGAAGCCTTCTTAACCACCTCTGACCCCAGTTTGGGTTATGTGCCTTTCCCCATACACATGTTTCACCCTGTGTTTCACCTCTGTCCTATACAGATTAAACACAGATATACAGTGATAAATAGACACACATGGTTTAAAAATCTTAAAATTTATAATCTTAACGAATGCTTGTTTAGTGAACTAATCAATGAATGATTTCACAGCTATTAAGTGGGAAAATTGGATCATGAATACAGATCTTCTGATTCTAAAAACTCTTCTCTCTTAATACCCCATACTGCCTCTCTTTTGGAATGTAGCAGAACCAAAGCTATCCCTAGAGTTCAGCAAGTTGTATCCCACACTTGTGCTCTAGAGGGGCCCACTGCTCCTAAATAAGCCAAGAAGTCAGAATTGGAGGGGAGGTGATACCAATTAATGTAAAAATCTCATCAGTAGCTTACTGTATATAGTCAGCCCATAAATACTTCCCTCACTCTGACCTGTTATCAGATACCTTACATTTTATGCATATATTCTTTTTTTTCCCATTGGTGTTCATTATAGCATGGTTTATTTTACATGAAAGCATTAAAGATGAGAATATGATTTGTCCCTTCCCCTTCTACCTCTTGAGGACTTGCTAATCCTTATTTAATCAAATCTTAAGATTCTCCACATTTTTGGACCTAATTCAAAAGCCTGTTATTTTGATAGAGGTGACAGGTAGCTTAAAGTGTGTTTGGTCGCAAATTAAAGGATCCTGTGATTTTAAGCTTCTCATAGTTAATTTGCATAGGTAATGAAGAGTTTACTCTAATGTTGATGACTATGGTAGAATCACTTAATGGTTTATATTCTGTCCCAATAAGGATTTGATTATGTTGCTCTCTTGAATATACATATATAAAAAAATAATATATTTCTCATGGTTTAATTTTTTTTTTAAGCTCATGTCCCTGATGCCAAAAATGCATCTACTCTTCCCTCTAACTCTGGTAAGGTCATTCTGGAGTGATATGATGGACTCTGCACAGAGCTTCATAACCTCTTCGTGGACATTTTATCTTCAAGCTGATGATGGAAAAATAGTTATATTCCAGGTGATGACTGTGCTTCATAGATTCATTTAAATACCAACAGTAGTAATGTATGTGTCTTAAATGAATGTCTTAGTATAGAGCCATGTACTTAGTCCCTTACAAATATTTATCATCAAATAATAATTACTTCCTAACCTACATTAAAACATTGGGCATCAGGACCCAATTTGACTTACCCCTCCCTCTGCCCATTGGAAACCTATTTAAAGCCTGTTGTTCCTTATCGTATAAGAACTCTGAATCTGCTAAATTTTAGAGTGGTTAAATTGATAAAAATGAAACCTCTAGATATGAAACATAAGAAAAATTAATGTAGTTTGAATATAAATAATGTGTATTTATATCACATATGGATATTAGGGAAAAGCAATAGAACATAATTTTTAGTTGTTAATAGTGCTTTTTCTCATAACTCTTATAAGAGAGCTTGTTGAAGAAGCATATTGCCTTCTAGAGAGGTAACTTTTCTCCTACCTCATTATTTACCGTGTGATATGATAATAATAGCTGCTGTTTTTGAAGGTTCATGTGTACTAGGCATTTACATATATTATCTCAAATCTTCAAACAACTTCATGAGGTTGTATTATCACTATTTTATTGATGAGGAAACTGTGAGTCTAACTTATTTAAGGTCACGCTGCCAGTATAACAGAATTAGGCTTCAAACCTGGGTTACTTTAGCTCCAAGGCTCATATACCACCCTACCATGCTGTCTTCCTTTTAATTTGGTTGTTAAATTCCTCAAACTTACCAGCCAACAAATTATGTTGTGATGCTTTCTCTCAGGTAATAATTAAAGTAAACCCTTTAATTATTATTGCCAATTGAGTGGCTTATTATAAGGCTAGTCTGTGATTTTTAGCATTGTCCTGAGTCTTGGGTACCCTGTACTTAATTTGGTAATATGTAAAACACAGAAGGAGTTTTCTCTCTTTAAGTTCATGAATAAGTTCTGTGTCTGAAAGCTACTTAAGTTAAAGCTTAAGTTGACTCTCAGAGTGGAGTCCTCCTTCATTCCTGATTAGATGTGAGATTAGCTCTGTTCTTCTCTTTATGTCAACTTAAGTGTGACTATGATGGAGAAAACGCCACTCCAGAGAATCAGTGCTACATAGGAGATGTAAAGTATGGAGCACTGAGCTATAATTTATGAATTACTCATACTTAGAGAAGAATGGAATGTTTCAGATGAGAAAGAATAGAGATAATATGTGTTTAACCAGAAATTTTGGCAGTCTGCTAAATTATTCCTGATCAACCAGAATTAGAACTCAGTTTTGCATGGTATGATACTTAATGTACTATGTTGTAATTTGTCCCTCTTTTTTTAAATTTTTTTTATGTTGTCAGGCAATTAAACTGACTAAATTCTTGATGATGCTATAAGTCTGCTTCTTTACAAGGCACTGGATCTAATGTTTAGCAAGTGCAATTAAAATATATTGTGGTTAACATGTTTTATTTTTTATACCATACTTCTGTTACTTTTTCTCAATTTGAATCTTTGTAGAGATGATATGTTATAGAACTTCCTACTGAGAAAAGCTTAAGAAGAAGTACAAATGACTTAATTGCTTTCATTATCATTTTAGTCTAAGCCAGAGATCCAGTATGCACCACAGTTGGAGCAGGAGCCTACAAATTTGAAAGAACCGTCACTAAGCAAAATGTCCTGTAAGTTTTATTTTAAGTAGCTTGGGATTAAAAACATTAACAGTCAAATCTGGTGGTGTTAGAATTGGTTGTATGATTGTTTTTACACTAATGGAAGGTGAATAAATAATTTTTAAAACTGTGGTTCTCAAACTTTAATATGCATTAAGATCTGTAGAGTTTGTTAAAGCAATTTCTGAGCCCCACCTCCAAAGTTTCCAATTTACTAAATCTGGGATAGGACGTGAGAATTTGCGTTTCTCACAAATTCCTGGATTCTGTTGCGGCTGGTCTGGGGACCACACTTTAGAATCACTATTCTAAAAACATTTAGTTTGCTTTGAAGGATGTTTTGAGTATGAACTAATGAGAGATTCTGGTATCTCCCAACAAACTAACCAAATAGTGAAACTACCATGAAAATATGTTTTTATTCTATTTTTATTTCTGTGCTAGAAGTGAATTTAAACTTATAGGAATAGAAAACATCAGGCTAAAACTGCTTACCTTTTAAAATGTGCTAGCTCATACCTTATTTTAGATACTGATTTTATTAACCTTTTAATTATTTTGGTGGGTGGATAATGACAGCACATAACACAAGGCCATCTTTAGATTTGAACAAACCAAATTCTATTATTACATTCAGAAATGTAATTAAACAGAAAGCATCAATGTCAATAAAAATTTGAAAGTAAAATAGGAAATTCATAATGTTGTATAATATCCAGTTGATTTTTAATGTGCCAGAGGAACTTGCATTCATTATAAAATATGTCAGATTACATTTATAAAAGCAGCTGGACATCTGTACAGTGTATATATCTAGAAGCAGTCATTTGAGACTAGCTTTTGGAATATAGGATATCATAAACGTGTACCTTATTATTTCAGCAGACCTTCATATGAGAAGTTCACACGCACATAGGAACTATCTTGAAGATGGAGAACGTGATGGTTTTTTAAGATGTCTCTCTCTGTATGTATTCATCTTCACTTATGCATATAGGAGATAAAATCTGGCTTGTATCAGAGAGATGCAGTCCTTTTTATTATTTTAAAGTTATATTAGCTGCTCAAGAGTAGAAAACTTTTTTTTACCTTTTACCTTTTCCCTACCAAATCCAAAGTTGTACTTTTGGATATTTTATTAGTTTGTTTAAAAGGTAATTCTCATACTACTTTAATCAAACCCGAGCGGGTAGTTTTTTTCACAGCACAAAAGCATCCTTGTTCTTATTGGGAGTCTTTGATTTATGTTATGATATGTGCTTCTTCAGGCATCTCAGTTAAGCTTTAATTTAATATTTATTGAAAAAAATTCACATATGAGTAAACCCACACAGTTCAAATCCATGTTGTTCAAGGGTCAACGGTATTTACATAGCATTTACATTTTATTAGATATTGTAAGCAATCTAGAGATGATTTAAAGTATACAGGAAGATATGCATAGGTTATATGCAAGTACTACACCACTTTATATAAGGGAATTGAGCACCCTCAGATTTTGGTATGGGAAGGGGCAGCAGTCCTGGGACCAGTGCCCTGGGGATACCAAGGGATGACTGTGTGTCTAAATGGTTTGGGGGTTGGATTTTTGTTTTTATCTATATGGCCACACAGGAGGCTAGGGGAGGTAGATAAGGGCTACAGATAAAGGAGGGCTTTGTGTTCTATACTGAGTGTCATCTCCATGCCAAGGATTCTTTTTTTTTTTTTTTTTAAATAATTTATTTGACTGTGTCGGGTCTTAGTTGCGGCGTGGGCTTCTCTCTAGTTGTGGCGCATGGGCTCTAGAGCACGCAGGCTTAGTTGCCCCTCAGCATGTGGGATCTTAGTTCCCTGACCAGGGATTGACCCCACGTCCCCTGCGTTGGAACGCGGATTCTTAACCACTTGACCACCAGGGAAGTACCCATGCCAAGGATTCTTAAGGGTGGCAAGGGAAAGTGGGCAGGCAAGGGTAATTGTTACCTTGTGCCCTCCTGGGAAGGAATATCAGGCCTTCTGAGGGTGAGGAGGGTTTTATCAAAGTATGCATGCTTCTACTCCTCCAAGGAGTTGTGATATGAGCTTTCTCCCTGCAACCACCCCCCACCCCTAGCCAAAAAAAAAAAGAGAGAGAGAAAGAGACAGTAGGCCATAGCACTTGGTGATAATTATCTACTCTGTGTCAGATACCAGACCAAGCACTTGAGTAGAGAGGTGAACAAGTGTGTATACACTCTAGTGGACTATTCTGTCTCAGGTGTAACACTGCAGTAGCCCACGCTACATGCTTCCTGTAATTTCTTAGAGTAGAAATAGTTTCTTGAGAGGTTTTATCAGATACCAGTAGGGTTCTGTTAGAACCTAAAAATTAATGCTTTTTACTGAATAAACTCTTTAAAGACTGGGTAAGAAAATGAGAATTAAAATTTTCCCTTCCTTTCATTGCTAAACTTGCTTTTGACCTTGTACAGAAAAAAGGGCAGTTTTTCTCTCTCTCAGTATTTTGGATTTTTGTTGCAGTTTGATAAGTTTTATGGAACCTAAATAATTAACTAATTTTAAGTTACAATTTATTCTTTTTTTTTTTTTTGGCCATGACACGCAGCTTGCCAGATCTTAGTTTCCCAACCAGGGATTGAACCTGGGGACCCGGCAGTGAGAGCACTGAGTCCTAAACACTGGACTGCCAGGGCATTCCCTACAGTTTATCCTTAATACTGCATTACCTGGCATCTTATTGATGCCTTATTGCCTTTTAACATTTTGTCATGTTTTATGTTATTCTTTTAAATCTAACATTTTAAAAATAGCTTCACTTGTTCTTTAAATCTTAATCTATAGTTTAGTAAACAATAGGGCACTTATGGAAAAAACTCCAGGTGCTGATTCTTGTAACCGGCCTTCTACCCTAAGATATTTTAATCATAAGAAAAATATAACTATCTCTTTTTAAGATATGTGCTAATGGATACAGAATGCTTCATAATAGATATGGTCTTGTAAGTTGAAATTCAAGTAATTGTGCTAAGTTAAATATTTGAAATGTAGTAGAGAAGCTAACTTCTGGAAGCCTGTTGTGAATCCATTTATAAAACAAATGATCATTTCATAATTTATCTATTCTGTACCTTAATTCTTTGGAATATTGGGTTTTCTTAAAGCAAGTATTATCTTAATACCTTGCAAAATAATATATGACATTTGTGTAGCACTGTACAGTTTATAGGACACTTTGATTTGCCTTATCTCATTTAGTAATTTAAAAATACCCTTAACAGTAATTTGCTTTAATTTCATATATTTAGCAGAAAGCCAGTATGTCTGATTTTTTAATTTATAAAAGTAACATAGCCATGTTATAGAAACTTGAGTAATGGAGGAAAGGACATCATATCACCCTAATATAATAGCTATTATAATATTTTCTTCTCTAAGTATGTTTTTTAAAATAGTTTTAAAGGTAGTACACATAAAGTTTTAATTATATTATTAAATAAGTACACAAGATTGATTGCCTGTAATTGTTAAGAGCCTCCTATTTTTTATATTATGCAATTTTAACATAACTAATTGTTGATTTTTTTTTTTCCCCCAGTAACTCCGGGTGGATTTTAACCATGACTCTTGTCCTCTCCGTGATGGTATTGCTCTGGATTTGTTGTGCAACCGTTGCTACAGCTGTGGAGCAGTATGTTCCCTCTGAGGTAAATTTAATTCTAACTCTTAGGCCTTTTGAAGACTGAGCCATATGATTTACTTTTTTTAATGCCTTATTGGTTTAGCTAGAAACGCAAAGCCTTTCTACTAATAGAATGAGAGAAGATTTGGTGGTTTTAATCACACACCGAGATTGGCACACATGAGAATTACAGGTTCTCAGCACAAGAATCACTTTCCAATTTTCTGTGGTGCTAACTACCATAATGACCAGTGTATGCCGCCTGGTTTGAGTACAGTGTCTCTCTTCTCCCTAGACCTTTGAGACTGAAAAAAACCCAGTGACATCAGTTTCTAAGGTGATATATAAGAAAGAAAGCTTGTAGAACTACTTAAAATTTTAAATTTAACATTGCCACAAATGTTAAGGAATAATTGCTGCTTTAGAAGCAGCAAGGCTAGAGCTTTTGATTTTGAGTAATGTGTTCTGGTATACCCTGATAGAGATGGAAAACTGTCTTGACTTTCTTGGTAATTAAAATTTAACTGGCTCAAGAAACATACTGTTAAGGTAAAGGATTTTTGTTTCAGAAAAAAGGTCTAATTTCTGTATGGTACTGGCACAAAAACAGAAATATAGATCAGTGGAACAGGATAGAAAGCCCAGAGATAAACCCACGCACATATGGCCACCTTATTTTTGATAAAGGAGGCAAGAATATACAATGGAGAAAAGACAGCCTCTTCAATAAGTGGTACTGGGAAAACTGGACAGCTACATGTAAAAGAATGAAATTAGAACACTCCCTAACACATACACAAAAATAAATTCAAAATGGCTTAAAGACCTAAATGTAAGGCCAGACACTATAAACTCTTAGAGGAAAACATAGAACACTCTATGACATAAATCACAGCAAGATCCTTTTTGACCCACCTCCTAGAGAAATGGAAATAAAAACAAAAATAAACAAATGGAACTTAATGAAACTTAAAAGCTTTTGCACAGCAAAGGAAACCATAAACAAGACGAAAAGACAACCCTCAGAATGGGAGAAAATATTTGCAAATGAAGCGACTGACAAAGGATTAATCTCCAAAATTTACAAGCAGCTCATGCAGCTCAATATCAAAACAACAAACAACCCAATCCAAAAATGGGTGGAAGACCTAAATAGACATTTCTCCAAAGAAGACATCCAGATTGCCAACAAACACATGAAAGGATGCTCAACATCACTAATCATTAGAGAAATGCAGATCAAAACTACAATGAGGTATCACCTCACACCAGTCAGAATGGCCATCATCAAAAAATCTACAAACAATAAATTCTGGAGAGGGTGTGGAGAAAAGGGAACCCTCTTGCACTGTTGGTGGGAATGTAAATTGATACAGCCACTATGGAGAACAGTATGGAGGTTCCTTAAAAAACTACACATAGAACTACCATATGACCCAGCAATCCCACTACTGGGCATATACCCTGAGAAAACCATAATTCAAAAAGAGTCATGTACCACAATGTTCATTGCAGCACTATTTACAATAGCCAGGAAATGGAAACAACCTAAGTGTCCATCAACAGATGAATGGATAAAGAACATGTGACACATATATACAATGGAATATTACTCAACCATAAAAAGAAACGAAATTGAGTTATTTGTAGTGAGGTGGACGTACCTAGAGTCTGTCATACAGAGTGAAGTAAGTCAGAAAGAGAAAAACAAATACTGTATGTTAACACATATATGTGGAATCTAAAAAAAAAAATGGTTATGAAGAACTTAGGGACAGGACAGGAATAAAGACGCAGATGTAGAGAATGGACTTGAGGACGCAGGGAGGGGGGAAGGGTAAGCTGGGACGAAGTGACAGAGTGGCATGGACATATATAAACTACCAAATGTAAAATAGATAGCTAGTGGGAAGCAGCTGCATGGCACAGGGGAGATCAGCTCAGTGGTTTGTGACCACCTAGAGAGGTGGGATAGGGAGGGTGGGAGGGAGACGCAAGAGGGAGGCGTTATATGTATCTGTATAGCTGATTCACTTTGTTATAAAGCAGAAACTAACACACCATTGTAAAGCAGTTATACTCCAATAAAGATGTTTAAATAAATAAATAGAAATAAATAAAAACAATGACTTTTGAGCTCTTAAAAAAAAGTCTAATTTGATGATTCAACTTAGCTTTCAAGGAAGGAAAATTAATTATATAACTAAACATAAGATAATAAATTCTGTTGACATCAGATCCAACTGAAATAAACTTTAGTTCTCATATGCCTCCAGAATGCAATAGAAAAAGAGAGAAAAGAAGAAAGGAGGGAAATTTGAAGAATGGTATTGATTGGCAGAGACAGGAGGGTGGACAATATTCCCAGGTACAGACAAGAATAAGCTACTATCAGGGAAGGACTGTAAGCAGCTGACTTGATTAAAAGAACTTAAATTAGGAAATTAAACCAAATGAATAAAGTTAGACAGGATTGGGAAGAACATTGAATTGTGGAAGTGTTAGACAATGGGTGAATTTCTGTAGAACTCATCTGTTTATGATATGATCTGAACATCCTCTTGCTAATTACCTATTTGTGTTCTTGTTTAGTTCTGATATCCATATTTTAATCATTTTATTGTTCCTGATAAAGTTGAAATTACACATCTTACATAGGATTGCCTTTGCCTATTACTTGCTTTTGAACTGCCCCATGCACTCTAAATCCTCATGACAACAAAGCTACAAACGCAGAGTAGTAAATCTTTATTGACACTGTGGTACTTTATTCCTTCCATTAGCACAATTCCTTCTCTTTACTTCTAGGATGCCCCTTGTAAAAGAAAGATACGCGTAGAGATTGGTGTGGTTATTTCCTGGAAAGATTGAATTACTGGCCTCAGGTGGAATTTACCTTGATAAAATCACCACTACCTGGCTTCTGGTTCCCAGGACTACTGACTAATGTTGAGCATTTTCTGCTGGACACCGTTCTAAGCATTTTATATGAATTAGCTCATTTAGTCCTTTCAGTAACTCTGTGAGATGGCTACTATTATTATCCTCTTTTCCAGATATGAAAACTGAAAGAGAGAATGTATTATTGCCCCAGTGTCACATAACTAGTAAGTGGTAGAACCAGAATTTAAACCCAGGTCATCTGACTCCAAAGCCAGTACCCTTAAGTTTTTTAGTTAACCTGGAGTCATCACTAGGGAAGTTGATTATGTTACTTGTATCAGGAGCTCATCTTCTGTGTAACCTCTTTTGACACTAGGAAGTTGAACACCACTGGGACCACATGTTTCATGTTTTTGAGCCAGGATGCTCAAACTCTCTTACTGAAACAGTTCTTAGATGGACATTTCATAGTTTTTCCTCTCTTATCTCCTTACTTGACTTATGGAATTGATCTCCTCTTCTGGTGTTGTTTAGACATAACAGTGCTTCACGCTGTGGTTTTGGTTACATCTTACAGACCTGGGGATCTGTCCCTCCCTTTCAGAATACTCTTGGTCTTTTTCTTCCTTTTAGATGTTGTCTCTGCTGTGATAAATTTTGTCTTGATTGTATAGCTTTAATTCTGTGAGAAGTTCTTTCCCCTTATTTCCAAGTTGTTTGTAGAACGCCTCGTTGTTCCCACATATGCCCAGGCCCCTGGATCATAAAGCCTAAAGCATCAGAACCACACGTGGAGTCCTGTTGGCAGCTATTACATTCCCTCCTGATATCTGCATATGGGTGTCACTTTCTTTCCCCTCTCTAGAACTCTTCTTCCTGTCCTTAACAATCAAAAGTATGGTGACATCCTCAAAGAGCCTATGCTTTCCTAAGATACATCTTCTAGAAAAATATATCGAAAACACTTATTTGAATTCACTGCTTTTAGGCTTTACTTTGTATCTGAAACCACACTTTAGCTAAGTAATAATGTTTTTTCAACTGTTTTTTTGTTTGTTTTTTTTTTGCCGTATGCAGGCCTCTCACTGTTACGGCCTCTCCCGCTGCGGAGCACAGGCTCCGGACACGCAGGCTCAGCGGCCATGGCTCCGCGGCATGTGGGATCTTCCCGGACCGGGACACGAACCAGTGTCCCCTTCATCGGCAGGCGGACTCTCAACCACTGCGCCACCAGGGAAGCACTCAACTGTATTTTTAATTATAAAAATTCTACATACTTGGTATAGAATTTATAAAGTTATATATAAAGAAGCAGGAAAAAAAATCACTCATCCAGAACTATTTCATATTGCCATTTTAGTGGATTTCTTTTCACAATTGAAAACTGTATAGGACTTGCCTGGCAGCACAGTGGTTAAGAATCCACCTGCCAATGCAGGGAACATGGGTTCAAGCCCTGGTCCGGGAAGATCCCACAAGCCGTGGATCAACTAAGCCCGTGCACCACAACTGCTGAGTCTGCGCTCTAGAGCCTGCGAGCCACAACTGCTGAGCCCGTGAGCCACAACTACTGAAGCCTGTGTGCCTAGAGCCCACGCTCCGCAACAAGAGAAGCCACCACAGTGAGAAGCCCGTGCACCACAATGAAGAGTAGCCCCCACTCGCCGCAACCAGAGAAAGCCTGTGCACAGCAAGAAAGACCCAACACGGCCAAAAATAAATAAATAAATTAAATATATATTTTTTTTAAAAAGCTGTATTAACTGGGACTTCCCTGGCCATCCAGTGGTTAAGAGTCCATGTTTCCATTGCAGGGGTGTGGAGTCAGTCCCTCGTAGAGGAACTAAGATCCTGCATGCCTCACAGCGCAGCCAAAACAAAAAGGAGAAATAACAAGCTGTATAAACTATTTCAATATTAATGTTTTGTTTCTTATTGTAAAATATAGCAGTGTAAATACTCCTTCCCTGGTATTTTCTCCTTTATTTATTGTAAAAGTAGCTGAGAATTTAGCATTAGGAAAGTTATTCAGATTTTCTTAATCAAAAGCTACCTATTTTAAACTTTACTTTCATAAAACCTTTTCACTGATTTTATTATTGGAACATAAGTTACTTCTGACCCCTCTCCATAGTAACATGAGACTCCGTGTTAAGAAATACAAGCAATGAGCAATGTTATTTATATTTTGTTATATTATTTATGTATATAATCCTATGTGTTTATAGGAAATCATAGACCTGCTGAGAGAATGTTTCTCTTCAGTATGGACCTGGTATCTTGAGCTCAAACATGAAATATAAAAAGCTTCCTTTTCATTCACTACAAATAAAGCTTAAAATGGTGCTAATAAGGGCCAGGAATGTGGTCTTGGAAACTTATGAGCAGCTTTATTTTTTTTATTTAGGAAAGCTCTGAAATAATTTATCCTTAGCCTGTTTTGTATATAGTAGGTACTCATCATATACCACTTGATAGTAATGCCAGAAAGAGTTGGCATTTGTTGATCTTAAAGCAGTATCATTTTGAGTGACTTACAAAGATTTTGATCCTTTTTTCTCCACTGTTTTTCCCTGTTCTTTCACATTTATGATGTTTTTTTGAAACTTCATGAAATAATGCTTTTCTCTTGTTGAGCTGTCTATTTAAGATAATAAAGAGTTATCATTCATAGTGGTCCTTGTCAGGCAGGTCAAACCTGACTTATAAAAACAGGGTTCAGCAATATTGGATATTCCTTTCTAGAGACCAGGAAGCCTCAGAAAATTGCCAAAGCCACAAATAATAATATAACTGCTGCCTCAGTGTTAATCTCATTATCTGTTTGCATCCTTTTTTCTTATTTGTCAAGACCATGATCATCTGATTTCAAATGGTTAGTTAAGAAAGGTTTTAGAAGACTTCAAATAACATTCATGTTAGTAAATCACAGACACTTATGGATAACATATGATGTGCTAGGCCCTGTTCAAGAGATTAGAGGTACAATGAAGAATAACATGAAGGTGGAACAAAGTTGAATGTTAAAGGCTGCAATGACTCAAGAAGTAGGGTGGGGGCTTCCCTCATGGCGCAGCGGTTAGAATCTGCCTGCCAATGCAGGGGACACAGGTTTGATCCCTGGTCAGGGAAGATCCCACATGCTGTGGAGCAGCTAAGCCCAAGCACCACAACTACTGAGCCTGCGCCCTAAAGCCCATGAGCCACAGCTACTGAAGCCCACGTGCCTAGAGTCTGTGCTCCACAACAAGAGAAGCCATGACAATGAGAAGCCTGTGCACTGAAACGAAGAGTAGCCCCCGCTCACCGCAACTAGTTAAAGCCCACGTGCAGCAACGAAGACCCAACGCAGCCAAAAATAAATTAGGTTAATTTTTTTAAATAGTAGGTGAAACATGTCTTAAACTATAATAAACATTATTTGTCTAAAAAAAAAAAGACCAAGAATCTTGCTATTTAGAAGCTTTAAGTCTCAAGAGAGACAATCAGAAAACGATGTAAATGCCATAGCTTTTTAATCTAAATTCTGTTAAGAAAATGAGTTTTAGAAAAGATTTATGTACATCTAAGATTGCATAACTGGTTAGTGGCAAAGGCAGGCCTAAAGCCCAAATACATACTAATTGAGTTTATTTTTAACTTTTAGAAGTAATACGTGTGACATAAAATTGACTTCCTCTTCCTCACTTCTCAGATAAACCAGTCAATAGTTTTTAAAAATTTTTCCAAGCAGTTGCCATTTAAAAATTTTATCTTTTATTTCTTGTTTTATCAATTTTAGACATTATGTGATGTCCTCCTACTAAAGGATGAGTTTAGTTCCCTTATACTGTCTTTCACTTCCATTTCTTCAGCTGCTGGGTTTTGGGGTTTTTTTTTTTTATATATATAAATTTATTTCTTTTATTTATTTATTTTTTGGCTGCGTTGGGTCTTCATTGCTATGCGCGGACTTTCTCTCATTGAGGTGAGCGGGGGCTACTCTTCGTTGCGGTGCGCGGGCTTCTCATTGGGGTGGCTTCTCGTTGCAGAGCACAGGCTCTAGGTGCATGGGCTTCAGTAGTTGTGGCACGTGGGCTCAGTAGTTGTGGCTCGTGGGCTCTAGAGCGCAGGCTCAGTAGTTGTGGTGCATGGGCTTAGTTGCTCTGCAGCATGTGGGATCTTCCTGGACCAGGGCTTGAACCTGTGTCCTCTGCATTGGCAGGCAGATTCTTAACCACTGAGCCACGAGGGAAGCCCCCAGTTGCTGGTTTTTATAATGTATATTATTATTTTGTATACATTTAGTGAGTGCTTTACAAATTTCTGTTGACTCCTCATTACTGCCTTTCCTTCTCCCTTTTTATACTGTCTCAATTTTCATTAATTATTATGATTGTTGACAATAAAATATACTCATTCTTCTGTATATATACTTTCATAGGTTGATCTGAAAAATTAAAATCCACTAGGCAGCATTTACAGTATTATGATTATATAAATATTCAAAGTAGAACACTGGTTCTATTAAAACACTGGCAAATATAAACCTGAATACTTAAAAGTGTTCCCAGGAGAATCTTCCATATATCTCTGCTTAATGGAACCCATTTTTGTTTTGTTCTGGCTTTCTTCCCATTTTCTAAGTCATCTCAGTTGCTACTGTTTCTTGTATGTTATTTTCTTTCTTGATTTCCTCTTTACTTTTGCTGGACCTCCTTAAGTAATTTTTTCATAAAGGATACTTGAGCAATAAACTTCCCAAGGTAACACTTTTGAAAATACCTCTGTTGTACCCTTGTATTTGATTAGTAATTTGAGAATACAGAGTAGCCACAGAATCACTAAACATACTGGTTAGAGGTTATCCACATGCTCCCATCCATTTCCCTGCACGAATTTTACTCTTTCTCCCTGATCTTCTAGATAGCTTCTTCCATATAGACGTTAGAAATAATTTAAACAGTTCCTGGTCACTGTTTCAAGGTTTTTAAATGTTAAATAGAGTTGTGAAAGTTTTTCTTTCATTGTGCCCCAGAGCAAATTATCACATGTTAATTTGGGTTTTAAGGAGGCCTTAGTGTATCAGATCCATGTCCAATCCATCAACCACTGAATTTGTCTTGAAAATATTCTCTTACTGGAAAAGTGTCAGGTACTGGGCCACCTCCTTGGTGCAGGATAGTTATTGCCTTGAAACAGTAGACAGCAGACCACATCTGAAATGTGTTCAAGTAAGCAGCCATCATGACAATCACTTTTAGAACTTTTTTATCACCCCAAAAAGGAAACTTATACTAGTAGTTACTCCCCATTTCCTCCCAAGCATCTTCACCAGCCATAGACGACCAATATGTGTGGTCTCTTGTGACTGACCTCTTTCACTTAGCATAATATTTTCAAGGTTCATCCATGTTGTAGCATGTATTGGTATTGTAGATACTTAAACTTTTGAAGGTGCTCTTTATTCTAAAAGCACCTTTCCAACATCAGGTACTTCTGTGTCAGTGTGTCTTTTTAATATAGTCAGTTGCCCTGTCAATAATGTCAGCACTTCAGTTTTTAACTTACAGAATCAGAGATTTATTGCCATATGCATTAACAACAAAATCTATCCCATTTGTTAGTAAAAACTTTTCCTTTTCTATTTTTTCCTTTAGGAGATAGGCCTATATCTAAATAGACCTACTCTCAAAAGATATTAGACATTTCCATTATACTTCGGTGAATTTTATGACATTTGCACTGATTCTGTGTTATGCTTTCATTCTTTCGTTTTAGTATCTATCTTCTTGGATATGTTAGTAATAATTTGAGCTTTTATATGTTTATAAAGACCTTTCTATCAGTGTTAAAGTATTTCATGTACATTCTTTGTTCTACTCACAGCCTTTTAAAATAGTACATACCATTTTCCATATATGTTAATTTAGAACATTTAGTAGCAGAGAAACTTAACCCCAAATCATTTGACCACTTGGTTGGAGAGCTAAGAACTTAAAGGAATTGATCACTTAAGGCATCAAACATCCAGAATCCATGCTCTTGTATGACCACACTTACTCCATTTAAACCTGAGCAGTTTTTCTTGATGCTCAGTTGTTAACTTCTAAGTATTTTAAGTCAGTACATGCGGAAAAGTTTTCTTTGGCCATCCACTGGGAACTGAATCACATATCTGTAACACTTTGAGTAAAAGCATTCTTGAGGACATTTATAGAAATTTTTTTTTTACCAGATACCCACAGATTAAATTGCTATTTTTGAAGACTTACTTGAAGAGGTTCCTAATTATCCAAATTGCTAATGTTCGTTGATTGTTTTTTGCAGAAGCTGAGTATCTATGGTGACTTGGAATTCGTGAATGAACAAAAGCTAAACAGATATCCAGCTTCTTCTCTTGTGGTTGTTAGATCTAAAGGTGAAGATCATGAAGAAGCAGGGCCTCTACCTGCAAAAGTGAATCTTGCTCATTCAGAAATATAAGCTTTTTTTTTTTTTTAAGAAAAGTGTATAGACATCTAAATTTCCATTCCTCATAGTGCTTTTTAAAATGGTTTCATTGGCTATAGGACTTAAAAATCACTATTAAATGCAAATAAGTTACCGAAATCTGTGACGACTGTATTTGCTGTAATTTTACCTGTAATTTTTTTCTAGTAATTTAAGAGATGGATATTTGGGATTGTATTTTTATTTTACTAATATCTGTGCTGTTTTAATTATTATTTGCATTGTTTTTGTTTGTTTCCTTTCTTAGCCAAATTCTGTGAGCTGATCATTGTTTTCCCCCACCTCCTACCATGTCAGTCACCTTAGTTAATAAGTTGAATACTCAGTAGGATATGACACTCCTGCTCAGCAATGGCCCACAACCTGTAATTTGAAATTTAGTAGAAAATGCCCTTTAATACTCTACATTTTCAGTTGTATTGAACTGAAATCATTAAAATTTTATTTGAATAATTATGTGCTGGAATTTGAGTTAATATACTAATTTTCCAGATCGTCCCTTTCACCCCTACCCAACCCAGAAAATAATGAGGAAATGTTCTATGTCTGTTTATTGCTATATGATGATCAGAGAGCAAATTAAAGCAAAAATGATTCACAAATGCATTTTATGTTATTTTGCACAGGCTATGGATGGATCTTTCCAAAGAACTATTTTTCTCTGTTAGAAAGCATATCAAGTATAAGTTAAAGATATTATCAGAGAAAGCTTTTCTTTTTTTTTTTTTTTTTTTTTTTTTTTCGGTACGCGGGCCTCTCACTGTTGTGGCCTCTCCTGCTGCGGAGCGCAGGCTCAGCGGCCATGGCTCACGGGCTCAGCCGCTCCGTGGCATGTGGGATCTTCCCGGACCGGGGCACAAACCTGTGTCCCCTGCATCTGCAGGCGGACTCTCAACCACTGCACCACCAGGGAAGCCCCAAGCTTTTCATTTTGATAGTAAGAATTAGACTCCCGTGTTGCACAATTAAGTATAGAATTCACTTTGCAAAAACTGTGATTACCATTCCTTTATTATTATTGTCAATAATACAGATACAGAAATAAGAGTGACATCAAGTAACATAGTACACCACAGTCTTAATGTGATTCAGTGTCATTAGACGTGAAATGTTAAATGACTTTGCTAACCAATACTTTCCTCACATGGGCATTACTGGCAACTGCAGTAGTGCTGTTTGAATAAAGAGTAAGTCACACACTTGCCTTCAGCCTAGTCATTAGCTTTCTCTGAGTCAAAAGAAAATACAATTAACTAATCAAGTAAGGCTTTGGTCACAAAATATAGGTTTTGCTTTTTTAAATAGTAGGTTGTCTAGATTTGGAAGATAGAGGGTTAGAAAGTATGTCAGGCAGTCGTCTCTCTGATTTTTTGTGAGAAAACAGTTATAAAACATGAGAAATGGATTGGATTTACCTTAAAAAAAATAAGCCCAGTTGTCTTATTTACCACCCATGGTATACACTTATGTTCATTAATCAGACACACATTTAATTGCAATGCACCCAGTGAGGCCAACTGAGGGGAATATATTCAAAATGCTGCAGATTTATAGGAGTCAGAGAGCCCACTATTAGGAAAGGCCTCCCTTATAAAAACAAAACAATGCGAAAGAATATCTCGATAAGAAAGAGCAACTGTATAATTGTCCTATGCTCTTCCACCTTCCCTTGGTTTTGTTTCTCTTTGCTTCCCGAATGAGATACCCCTGAGATACCCTCAATCCTCTTGAAAGCATTGATCCAAGTTTAGACAAACTTTCCCCTCTTGTTTGTAAGAGACAATTCCTTGTATGAGGAAATACCCAATCTTTCCTGTTATTTATCAGGCACTCAAATATTTGTGTCCTGCCTTATTTTCACATGATTAAACCAGACTGATGTTTTCAAAAACAGTTTTACTTTTATTTTTATTTATTTATTTTTTTGCGGTACGCGGGCCTCTCACTGTTGTGGCCTCTCCCACTGCAGAGCACAGGCTCCGGACACGCAGGCTCAGCGGCCTTGGCTCACGGGCCCAGCCGCTCTGCGGCATGTGGGATCTTCCCGGACCGTGGCACGAACCCATGTCCCCTGCATTGGCAAGAGGACTCTCAACCACTGTGCCACCAGGGAAGCCCCAGTATTACTTTTTAAAAAAAGAAAAGAAAAAGCACCACCACCACCACCCCCCAAAGGTATACAGCATAAAAATATGTGACTTGAAAACTGCAACAAAAGCAAAGAAACTGGCCCCTTCTAAAGTAACAGTTTAGCCCTTTGGGTGGACCCAACTTTACTTGTTTCCATTAGACAGGTATCACCTTCTTTCCTACCACACAGCATATTCTTGGGAAGCTTGCCTTGGTTCTAGGCAAATTATCAAGACCCTTGAGTCTGGTTCAAACCTCCCAGACTCCTGAGGTCCTTCTTGCTTGGTTCAGGTCCCTGGTGTAAGAGATAGATACACTGATTCAGGCAATTACAAACACAGTAGAAATCACCATAATGAATGATTTAGGCCCAAGATTCCCAATCTTTTCACAAAACTTCATGAATACCTTTTATATATGATATATTTTTTGTAAATCAGAAATTACCAGATTATCTGGTCTATCAATCTTATCTTAAAAGTTCATATGATGTATTATCAGCGAATTTGAGCTGCTCGTTAGCGTGTGAAACCTGGTACTTTCACTCTGAGCCCAAAGCAAAAACTTTATCCCTTATTATTAGTCTGTGTGGCTTTATCTTAGATAAATGTGCCATTTCCATTATGATTTTTTAAATATATAAAATAGTTCTATTATAATTTTTGTGGGCTCTTAAGTATCTTAGGACTACATGTGGAGAATCAGAGGGTTCTAGATCTTTTTCGGTAAAGCTAATCAGGCCCCCCAACCTTTGGTGCAGTCTATATAACATTCTCAGCTGAGTCCCCACACCACGGTAGTGATTTTTGCCGAGATACCATATTAGAGATCCACAGTTTAACCATTCAACAACCACTTGAGAGCCCGAGTGCCAAGCCCCATGCTGGGGGATGGGACTGCAACAACAAACAAGACCCAGTGCCCAACTCTGGTCGCTCAGATTTTAAAGAGGGAGACAGACTATTATTAATGTGGTAAGTGCTGTGACCAGATAAGCATGGAGTACTGTGAGGGGACCCCGAACTTCTGGGAGGAAGTGATAACCAAGCTTAAACCTAGAGGGAAAAGGGAAGCCAAACAAAATATAAGGAGCAGTGTTTCAGGCAGTGGGGACAGTATGCTCAAAGACCTAGAGGCAAGAGGGTGGGGAACAATAATTGTTTAGCAGGCAGACACAGAGCATACAAAAGTATAGCTATAGATAGGGCTTGGCGGATCACATAATAAAGGACCTCATTAAACCTGGACTTGGTCCTGAGCAAGGTGGAAAGCATAGAAAGGTTTTAAGCAAGAGTTGCAGTGCTTTAGAACGATGCACGTGGCAACAGCGTGCACGATAGACCAGAGGGGCAAGTCCAGAGGCCAGCAATGTCTTAGCTCTACGGTAACCACCAGGGTCTATTAAATTTTGTGCTTATCCAGCCACAGAGAAATGGGAAATTCCATTCCCTTCCCAGGGTTTTGTTTTTGTTTTTGAACGCCCAGTAATCCTATTTCATTGTGTTTCACGTATATTTTTGAGCTTTTATGTATAAGGCTGTCTGTTCCTCCACCTTATTGTTTGGATGGTAAGCCTAGTCTTTGGGTCACAGTCACAATCTGAGTATTGCCAAGCAAACTGGGAAGGCTGTCCCATGCATTCCTAAGCTTCTTACCAGGTTTCACATTGGGCTAAATTTTTAAACCACAATACTTGGTCAACTTATCACCGTCCTCAAATTCTAGGTTTGCCGGCCCAGCCTCAACTAACTCAGGTGTTCCTGAGCCCCTCCCACCACATTTCCAGTTGCTGAGTAGGTTATGTTTGCATATGAGTATCATCAGTATGAGCTACCTTTTTTATCTTTCTTTCTCTGACTACTTGTTCTAGACTAGAGTCTGGGGGTGGAGGTATGTCCAGTGACAGAGATAAAAGATTGAGATAGTGGGAAATGCAGCCTTCTGTGGAAAGCTAGATTGTACAATTAGTGTGGATTTTCTGACTCCCTGCAATATTGTAAGTTCTGAAGTACAGTTAATATACCTTTTCTGAAGTGTGTAATTGTTGAAGCCAGCTTTACATATTTCACTATTAAGTATTCTCTTCCTGTGATGTTAATGACTTATCTGTTTAGAGCAGGTGTTCTTGACCCTTTTTCATGCCATGAACCCGTTTGATAATCTGGTGAAGCCTATGGACTGTTCCTCAGAATAATGTTTTCACATGCATAAAACTAAGTATGCAGGATTGCAAAGTAAACTATATTAAAATACAGTTATTAAGGTATTTTCAAAAATTTGCAATTATGTATATATGTACTTCTTTATTAGCACATAAAATAAGGCCTACTGGTGGTTCTAAATCTATTGGAATTTCAAAGTAATTTCAAACTATTGTTTTGAAATCTCTGCAACATCTGTGATATCTAAATCTGATTTCTATTAATGATAAAGTCACAGTACTGCTAACAGTCCTGTCATTTATTGCCTATGTTCATAATTGAAGGAAATGCTATATTTCAGTTAGACGTTAGTGAAAATATTTAATTTTTTTCTCATCCAAGTTCACTGAACCCCTGGTTTAGAGGTTGTCTAATTTTACTTCGTCGTTTTAAGAGTAAAATATTTTTGTTTGCCTCTTCAATTCTAAATTATTTGGGTTCATTTTACTGTTTCTTGTATGTTTTTCATACCTGAATTATTTTGCAACATTGCAGCAATAATTGAAGGCTTGGATGGAAAGAAATCAACAAATGATTAGAAATGAGAGGTTTCAACCAAAGCTCTTGATAATGTTACCTCAGGGTATACCATCATGCAGTCATTATTGGAGCCCCACATCCGATTATTTCATAACACTTAAGTCTGTAAGCATCAATAAAATTTGAATCATCGGCACTAAGCAATATTGTAAGCTGTCTTGTAAAAGTGTCTACTTAGATATTTCATGATGAAGTTTATCTATTGATTCCCCATAACTTTTGCAAAGCCCTTTATAGCACTCTATCATTTTAAATGGGTCCTTCCTTACAGCATCCCTCTAGGAAAGCAGGATGGGGTTTAACATCTCCATTTTAGAATTGAGGAAACAGTCCCAGAGAGGAGAGGTGGCCAGCCAGGGCTCTCAGAGTTATGGAAGGCACAGGGGAGGAGCGGTAAATATTGAGGCAGGGACTTGGCCTCACCTCTAGGCAGGTATGGAAGCTGATCTCTCAGGTCCCTGGCTCAATCTAGCTGTGGCGCCCACTTAGCATTGTCCAACCCAGAGCCAGGCACTGGGCTAAGAAGGAGTCCCAGCCCCCAAGCAGATCTCTTTGTAATTATAAACAAACCAAGTCATCCAG